ATTAAATCCTTAATTAAAAAAATAGAGTGGGTCCGCCGGCCCCTCATTGCAACGCGCTTTGGCGTCGGTGTTGGATACTTGCTCAAGTTTAGTAAAGCGCGTGCGTAGATACACTGGGCGAGCGTAGACATGTTCTAATCATGGCTTTACGTAATCCTTAATTAATTTATGTTTGGGGGGCAATCTGCCTTGGTGATCAAAAAGGTCTTTTCAAAAATACTCTTAAATTAATTGCTAAATATTTTTTTAAAAATTTTTTTCCCACAATTTTATTTTATTTTATTTTTTTAATTTTTAGAAGAAGTCCAGTCTGCCTCTATATATACTTCATTCACAATGTGACTCTTCACTAAACCAAACAAACATTGCCAACATCGTTCCTCCAAGGCTTCAATTCACTATACCATCAAGTTATCTTCAGTCTCTTTCTAGCTTTCTTAACTCTTCTTTCTGGGAAAGTTTATATTCCTCTTTCAGAGCAAAAATGGGGTTGTCTAGAAAAGTTACATGCAACACTTACGGACAAAATTCCCCTTACTTCCTCGGATGGAAGGAGTAGAGAAGAACCCATATGATGATGTTAAGAATCCTGAGGGAATCATCCAAATGGGACTTGCAGAGAATCAGGTATAACAAATTTGATCTTTCTTGTTAGTATTGATACATTAGATGATAATTAATTGATGAAGCACCCCACATGCAGAGTCTTAATTATTATTCTTTGTTTTGAAATTTTTTCAGTTGTCCTTCGACATTTTGGAGTCATGGCTGGCCGAAAATCCAGACGCGGCCGGATTCAAGAGGGATGAACAATCCACATTCACAGAGTTGGCTCTGTTCCAAGATTACCATGGGCTCTCTGCATTCAAGAAGGCATTGGTAGATTTCATGGCAGAAATTAGAGGAAATAAAGTAAAATTTGATCCAAACCGCATAGTACTCATGAAGCTGAGAAGGTGCCTCATATCCACCCAGCAGAACAACCCCGCATTGCTCTTGTTCAGGCAGCTGATACCAGCTACCTCTAGCCCGGTAACAAGCATTCTCTGTCGTTGTTTCAACCTTTTTTGATTTTCTGAAATGTAATTCTTCGTAAATTCATTATCGGAAAGCATTGCTGAGAGAAGATACTGAGTTTGGGAGGAAACTTGGCCAAAGCTGGACATTTTCGTGGCGGTATCCATGACCATGTTATCGTTGGAGTAAATTGCCCCAACTTGAAAACCAGGAAGACCTAGATCTTTGGAAAGGCTATACACAAGGTGAACTCTGTTAAAAGCATAAGAGTTCTCCAACTTCCTATCTTTCACAATCTCCATGATACTTACAAATCCTGGAGAGGAAAAAACAGTGCCAGAATAGATTTCGTCGCTGATTAAATGAATTTCCTTCTTGGAAATAAAGTCAACCAGAAGGTTTAATTCAGCGCGGCTCATTGAAGTGCCCAATGGGTTAGAGGGGTTGGTGACTAAGACTCCCTTAACTCTTAGGTTGCGCTTGTGAGCATGTTGATAAGCTTCTTCAAGAGCCGATTCAGTGATTTGGAAGTCATTGGAGCTTGTGCATTCAATTGGTACAATCTCCGCCCCAGTTCTCCACTTCAGATCCCTATCAAATCTGAAACAAAATAAAGCATAATTCAGTAACGTAATTTTCACGCATAAGGATGTGATCACCATGAAATTTGATCCAAACCGCTGGTGCAACCTCTGCAAATGAGACTCTCATATTCTGCCTGGCAGACCCCGGCGACGCTTTTCTCCTTCCGACTCCATAC